AGGAAAGGAGGGAGAAGAATTGCGAGAGAGATAAGCGAGGGAAGGAGAATAATGGAAGATCTGAGAGGAAAGACAATCGAAGGACAAAAGAAAAGGAAAGAAAAATGTTGGAAGGAAAGAATGTGAACCGATAAAGAAAAGAAAAAAAAAGGAAAAAGAATTACGATTGAAGACCAAAGAAATACAACACGATTACAAAAAACAAGATATCAAACCAAACAACCAAACAAAACACAACATGGTAAAATCATAATAAAAAAGAAAAAAAAATCCAAAAAGAAACAGCCCCATATATCATACAAGCTTATTACACAACCGCTCGTAAGTCCACAAAACGCAGTCACACGCTTAAACCAGAAAATCCACGCCCACCTCCCCCCACGCCCCCCCCCACGCCCACGCCCATTCAGATCCCGCGAAATCGCAAACGGGCGTCCTCTCTCTACATCAAACGTCTTAGAACTCGTCTTGAAGAGGGGGTGGTGGTGGGGTGGGGGGGGGACGACGCCCAACCCCCTTGCAAGTCTCTCACGTGTTTCTCATTAACTGCAATATTTCTCAGAGATAATTATCAGGCGATGCGACGGGGCGTGTGATCGATGCTCTAGGGGAAGTTGGGGGTTGGAGAAGGGAGTGGGAAGGAGGAAGGGGGAGGGGGAGTGGGGGAAGAAGGAAAGGGGGAGGGGAGGGGGGAAGAAGGAAAGGGGGGGGGAGGGGAGGGGAGGTGTGAGGGGATTGGGAAGAGGAAAGGGGGGAGGAGTGGGGAAGAAGGGGGAAGGAGTGGGAAGGGAAAGGGGAGTGGGAAAAAAAAAGGGGGAGGGGTGAGAAGGGGAGGTTGGGGGGAGGGAGTGGGGAGAAGGAAAAGGGGGAGGGAGTGAGAGAAGGAAAGGGGGGAGGAGAGTGGGGAAGGGAGGTGGGGGCGTTGAGAGGGAGTGGGAAGAAGGGAAGGGGGGAGGGGAGTGGGGAAGGGGAGGTTGGGGGCGTTGGAGAGGGAGTGGGGAAGAAGGGAAGGGGGGAGTGAGGGGGAGGTGGGAGTGAGGAGGGGGAAGGTGGAGGGTAGGTTCGGGAAGGGGTGGGAAGAGGGTAGTGGGGAGTGGGGAGAAGGAAAGGGGGAGGGGAGTGGGGAAGGGGGAAGTGGGAGTGAGGAAGGGGGAAGGGAGGTGGGGTTGGGAAAGGGAGGTAGGGAAAGGGGGAGGGGAGTGGGGAAGGGTAGGTGGGAGGGAGGAATGAGAAGGTGAGGTACGGTTGGTAAGGGGGGTAGTGGGGGGAGTGGGGAAGGGTAAGGGGGTTAGTACGGTCTTATGGGTGGGGGGTTGTTGGTGGTGGTCGGGTGGGGGGTAAAGGGGGAGGATGTTGGTGATGGGTGGAGTCTCGGGAGGTGAAGGGAGGGTGTTTGTGGTGATGAAGGGGGAGGGGAGGGTTCCTGTTGGTGTCAAGGGGGGGGGGGGGTGGTGGTGATGAGGAAGAGGGAGGAACAGTGACTGTGTGAGGATTTTGTGATGATCTGCCAATGCGTAGTGATGATGATGTGGCGAGTGAAAGAAAAAAAAGTGATGAATCATTAAAAATAACTAACTACATTAATTAAACAATATACCAGAAAACACGAATTCAATAATAATCCATATAAGTGATGAATCATTAAAAAAACCCTGAGTACATTAATTAAACTCAATATACCAAAAACATGAAAATACACAATCCCATATAAGTGATGAATCATTAAAAAATCCTACATTAATTAAACTCAATATACCAAAAACATGAAAATACATAATCCCATATAAGTGATGAATCATTAAAAAAACCTGAATACATTAATCAAACTCAATATACCAAAAAACAAGAAAATACACAATCCCATATAGTGATGAATCATTAAAAAAACTAACTACATTAATTAAACTCAGTATACCAAAAAAACATGAAAATACATAATCCCATATAAGTGATGAATCATTAAAAATCCTTACATTAATTAAACTCAATATACCAAAAACATGAAAATATATAATTCCATATAAGTGATGAATCATTAAAAAACCGAGTACATTGATTAAACGCAATATACCAAAAACATGAATACATAATCCCACATAAGTGATGAATCATTAAAACCTGTTACATTAATTAAACTCAATACCAAAAACAAGAAAATGCACAATCCCATATAAGTGATGAATCGTTAAAAAGCCCGAATACATTAATTATACGCAATATACCAAAAACATGAAAATACATAATCCCATATGTGATGAATCCTTAAAAAAACTTACATTAATTAAACTCAATATACCAAAAAAAAAAAAAAAGAAAAAAAAAAAAAAAAATACACAATCCCATATACAAACCCCCTCCCCCCCCATAAAACTACAACATTTCACTCGCTGTAACAACAACATAGTTCTTCCTCAGTTCGATAAGAAGCAAGCAGCCAACTTGATCCCGAGAAGAGATAATAAAACTAATTTCTCGGATAAAACGGGAATCTTAAGACTAGGAAGCGGGGGGGGGGGGGGGAAGAAAGTGCTATACAACTAGGACGCGGCGGGAAGAAAGTGCTTTGAACGAACCACGCGAAGAAAAGGACAAGTCTGTGAGCTGGACCACCGACGAGGCGCCGAGAGGGACAGAGAGAGCGAGCCAAGGATGATGTTTCTTAATCAAAGCCTTTCATGAAGAGGAATCCTTCGTGTGGGGAAAATTTTACTTTTTTTTTTTTTTTTTTTTTTTTTTTTTTTGGGGGGGGGGTGTTGGGAGGGGAAAATTTTTTTACTTTTTTTTTTTTTTTGGGGGGGGGCGTTGGGAGGGGAAACTTTTTTTTTGGGGGGTTAGGATGGGAGATGGGGCGGGGGAGATGGAGTGATGGGGGGGAGGGGGGAGGGCGTGGTTTATATTATCTTGGAAGAAGATTCTTGAGTTTTCATTATGTGTGAATTTCTTAAGGATTTTATGGAGTTTATTTCTTTTTTTTCTTTTTTTTTTATGGGTTTCCGTTTGAGATTTTCCTCCCTCTTTCGTTTTTTTCTTTCTTTCTTATCTCTTCTTTCGCAGAATATTCATATCATATAATTATATAACTGATTTTTTTTCTCTTGTAATCACCTACTGTTTCAAATACTATACCGTCATCACTTTCATTATTTACCTGTCTTTCATTAACTCTTTGCTTGTATGAACAATTTTTTGTTTCTTTCATTAACTTTGTTCTTTAATCTTTGCTAAAAAAAAAAATGTTCTTTTTTGTTCTCGATCTATCTCGCTTCCCGTTTCTCTTTTGTTCCTTCCCTTTTATTCCCTTTTTTCTATTGCTTCCCCCTTCGCCCACACCCCGCAGAACCTCATACACGAGATGCAGCAGACTCAAAAAAAAAAAAAAAAAAAAAAAAAAAATCATTCATTCGCTTCTCTTCATTTGTTCGAGTTTTTTTTCTTCTTTTTTTTTTTCCTCTTCTGCTTCTCTTTAGATCTTCTCTTTGCATAAGGAACACTTTGGGTTCTCCTGTGTCCTCTTTCTCTGCCGTTCCTTTTTTTTCGTCTTTTGTTTTGTACTCGTTCTTGAAAAGGAGGGAGTGGAGGGGAAGGGAGGTGGAAGGGGAGGGAAGTGGAGGAGGGTGAGGGGTTGGGGATGGAGGGGGTGGGGGGTAGAGGGTGCTCTCTCTTCCTCTCTCTCTACTGTCTTTTTCGAAACGAGTGAATATTAAGTCACGATATCTAACATAACATCGTGTCTTCTCCTCTCCTCTCTCTCTCTCTCTCTCTCTCCTCGATCTCGAATTTACATATTTACAATCTTCCTCTCTTTTTTTCTTGTCTCTTCCTCCTCCTCCTCCTCCTCTCTGATGAACCTTTTCCATTTTCTTCCTTTTTTGTGAAAAGAAAAAAAAGGAAAGATAAAAAAAAAATCTTTTGTTCACCTTCTCCCCTTCCTTGTCTCTCCCTCTTGCCTTTCCCAAGATTATTTCCATATCTTCCATCCCTCAAAATGCTAAGCTAAGCCATGCTCAGCTGACTTCTATGGTCTTTTTCCTTGTGGGTTGGACGTTCTTGTTGTTATTGTTTTTCCTTGTTTTGTGTTGTTTTCATGTTGCAGTGTTGTTGGTTGTTGTAGTGTTTTTTTAGATTTTGTGTTGTGTGGTTATTTTTTTGTTGTGTTGTTGCTTGTTCTAGTGTTTTTATTTTTTTACTTTTAAAAAAAATGTCCTTTGTCTGTTTTTTGTTGCTTGTTCTAGTGTTTTTTTTGTAATTTTACTTTGTCTGTTATTTTTTGTTCTAATGTTGTTGCTTGTCGTAGTGTTTCTATTTTTTTCTTAACTTTGTTTTTTGTTTGTTTGTTTGTTTTTTGGTTGTGATGTTGTTGCTTATTGTAATGAAAGATGGTAAGGCTGTCGAAGTCTTGTTTTTTGTTACTTGTTTTTTACTTCCTGTTCGCTTTCCTTTTTCCTCACCCTTTACTCTTTCGGTTTTCTTGGGTTGGCAACTTTAAAGAAACTCTTTTTTTTCTTCTTTTTACTACTCGTAAAACTTTCTCTGAAGGAGAGAGAGAGAAAAAAAATAAACAAGAACATAATTCTATAAACATTTTCAGTTTCTTTCAAGGAATCAACAACCACAGTCACCATCATATGCTAAAACATTTGTTCATCTTTTTTCTTTTCTTTTTCTTTTGCTTCGACTGTAATATAGTGCCCACATGATCCAGCACAGGCGAGGTTTACAAGCTGTGAACACATTTGCGGGTTTTTGTAATGGCTCGTGTGTTATCAGACAATACAAGTCAAAGTTGATACCGCTGTCTCTCTCCACCTTGAGCTTGCCTGTAACAACTTCATACTGTCAGCTGGAATGAAGTGCTTTTTATTCATACGATTCAAATTTGTTTCTTGAAGTTCATGGGACTAATCTGATTCATCTGCATACAATAAGGGCCATTCTTAAAGTCGTGTAGTTGGGATGTTGAAGTGGGAAACATGGAAATAATGATATGTACAATGTTATTCCTATCTTAAATGTTGATAACGGAAATCTGTTGGATGTTTAGTGATAGTAAACCGAGCCAGGAGAGGGGAACAGAGCAGTGACAGGGGAAGGGGATTAAGGCAAGACAGAGTCTCGGGGCAGGGTAGGGCAAGGCAGGGCAGGGACTCGGGGTAGGGCAGTGCAGGGGCCCGGGGCAGGGTAGGGCAGGGGCTGAGAGCAAGGCAGTGCAGGGGCCCGGGGCAGGGTAGGGCAGGGGCTGAGGGCAAGGCAGGACAGGGGCCCGGGGCAGGGTAGGGCAGGGGCTGAGGGCAAGGCAGTGCAGGGGCCCGGGGCAGGGTAGGGCAGGGGCTGAGGGCAAGGCAGAGGGGCAGGGTAGGCAGGGGCTGAGGGCAAGGGGACAGGGGCAGGGTAGCAGGCAAGGCAGGGGGCAGGGTAGGTTGGCTTAGGGCAGGAGGGCAGGCAGTAGGGCAGGGGCTGAGCAAGGCAGTGCAGGCCCGGGCAGGGTAGGGCAGGGGCAGGACAGGTAGGGCAGGGGCTGAGAGCAAGCAGTGCAGGAGGGCAGGGGCTTGCAGGGCCAGGGTAGGGCAGGGGCTGAGGGCAAGGCAGGACAGGGGCCCGGGGCAGGGTACAGGGGGGGTTAGGGCAGGCTGAGGCAAGCAGGACAGGGGCCCGGGGCAGGCAGGAGTGCAGTAGGCAGGGGCTGTAAGCAGTTTTTTAGGGCCAGTTAGGGCAGGGGCTTTCATCCTGAGGGCAAGTAGGCCGGCATCAGCAGATAAGTGTCGACACATCACCTGAGGAGGACGTTAGGGAGAGCCGAGGCACGAACGGGGAGGCAAACAGCTTTCCGATAATCGAAATCACCTTCGGATGAACACTCCTCCGTCTCTTTTCCTCTTCGGGAGCTGGACGAGGGACCGGCCTGACGACGAGCTCATCGGCCGCCCAACTGTTGCGTTTGGGGTGGTTCGGATGGGCAGACACAGGCGTACCTACATAGATATACGGTGGGTTATGTGCACTTCCTAGGCACACATGTAGGTAAATGGATGCAATCGTATATGTGAACGCTTCCTCGTGGATACGCATAAATACAAATACAAATAACCAAACTCATACACGCAATCACACACACATACACACGCACATACATAACACACAAGCACACACACACACACGCACATACAAGACACACACACACACACACACACACACACACACACACACACACACACACACACACACACACACACACACACACACACACACACACACACACACACACGCAACCACACGAGCATACAATACACATGTCCACATACTATTCCAATATGCAAAATACAGCAATAATATCCCCCACAACATAAACAATATCACAAAAGACGAAGACAACGATAGCACAAAACCACAAAAAAGAATTCTCCAGCATTTCAATAATAATACTCAAAACCTTCCGCCTGCAGGATTTACCGCCAGATTCCCGTTTTCTCTTTTTTCCGTTTTCTTTTCCCTCTTTCTTTTTGTTCTTATTTTTTTTCTCTTTTTTGTGGTGGCTTCGAGGCAGACACGTTCGGCGCGGAGCTGACACCCCCCGCTACCAAGGGAGTTTCAAGGAGGATCCACAGCTTTACCCACAGTGTCATGGAGGATTTAACTTCCTTTATACTCTATGTTTTGTTATTATTTATGATTTGTGCTTTATACTTTACGTTTAGATATTTCTTTATGCTGACAGGATGTTATTTCCATGAGATAAGATGGGCTTTAATCAGGTATATAAGATGGATAAATATATAGATACATAGATAGAGAGTTAGATAGATAGGTCGGTAGATGGAGAGAGATAAATAGATCTATATGAAGATAGACAAATGGATAGATAGAGATAGCGAGGAAGAGAGGACGCTACTAAAGGTTCCTTCGGGAGAGTCCTAAGTGTACTGAAAGAATTTTACGACACTACGCTTTGGTAAGGAGAGAAAGAGAGAAGCTTTTGAAGTTTCTTTGGCTACCCCTTCGTTCTTTGTCCGTTTGTAGGGTATAGGGAGCGTCTTGGCAATGGGTTTAATGAGGTTATTTATCCGAGAGCTGGTAGTGTAGCTTTAAGAGTAGATATGAAAGTCCCGTGAAAAATGAAATGTCTTCCTGGGCTCAGCGGGGAAGATGTACAGAGCTTCGACCCAAATCTGGATAAAGTTCCCTCTCCATTAAAGGCTTAACTGTCGATCACTGGATTATATATAGACTGCACTCCTAAAATCTTAATGGTATCATGATTGAAAAGAGACACCTGCTGTAAAATGACCCGCAGTCTCTCCATTGCCTTTCTGGCGTGGAAAGGCAGCAGCATGATCGATTGCGTCATAGGACAGATAAGCATCTAGGATTCATCCCGCGAGCTCAGGCGAGGCGAAGGCTATTGGTATCGGAAGAAGGATTGGGGGCAAAATAAGGGCACTTGGAAATAGAATCTTCAAGCCTCGCGTAACCGATACAAATTGCAAAATCTGTACCGGTGTCAAG